AACAGTGAGAGAAGCCATCCAGGTAAAGGCTTTTCCACATTCACCACATACATAGGGTTTCTCTCCAGTATGAGTTCGCTGATGAACAGTGAGAGCAGTCTTCCTGATAAAGCCTTTGCCACAACCACATACATAGGGTTTCTCTCCAGTATGAGTTCGCTGGTGAAAAGTTAGTTCCTTCTTCTCGATAAAGGCTTTTCCACATTCACCACATACATAGGGTTTCTCTCCAGTATGAGTTCGCTGATGAACAGTGAGAGAAGTGTTCCTGATAAAGGCTTTTCCACATTCACCACATACATGGGGTTTCTCTCCAGTATGAGTTCGCTGATGAACAGTGAGCTCGTTCTTCTTGATAAAGGCTTTTCCACATTCACCACATACATGGGGTTTCTCTCCTGTATGAATTAGTAGATGAGTTTTCAGATGTGTTTTCCGAATAAAGCCTTTTCCACATTCACCACATACATGGGGTTTCTCTCCAGTATGAGTTCGCTGATGATCAATGAGAGAGGTCTTCCTGATAAAGCTTTTGCCACATTCAACACATACATAGGGTTTCTCTCCAGTATGAGTTCGCTGATGAACAGTGAGCTCGTTCTTCTTTATAAAGGCTTTTCCACATTCACCACGTACATGGGGTTTATCTCCTGCATGAGTTCGTAGATGAGTTTTGAGATGTATTTTCCTAATGAAGCCTTTACCACAATCACCACATACATGAGGTTTCTCTCCAGTATGATTTCGCTGATGAACAGTGAGAGAAGTCTTCCAGGTAAAGGCTTTTCCACATTCACCACATACATGGGGTTTCTCTCCTGTATGAGTTCGCTGATGATTAGTGAGAGCAGTCTTCAAGATAAAGGCTTTTCCACATTCACTACACACATAGGGTTTCTCTCCAGTATGAGTTCGCTGATGAACAGTGAGAGCAGTCTTCCTGATAAAGGCTTTTCCACATTCACCACATACATGAGGTTTCTTTCCAGTATGAGTTCGCTGATGAACAGTGAGGTTCTTCTCCCTGATAAAGGCTTTTCCACATTGACCACATACATAGGGTTTATCTCCTGTGTGAATTATCTGATGTGCTATAAGGTGTTGCTTCTGGTTGAAAGCTTTACCACACTCACCAAGTACATAGGGTTTTTCTCCTGCATGAGTTTGTAGATGTCTTTTGAGATGTGCATTCCGAATGTAGCCTTTCCCACCTTCACCACATACCTGGGGTTTCTCTCCAGTATGACTTTGCTGTTGAATAGTGAGGTACTTCTTCCTGATGAAGGCTTTTTCACATTGACCACATGCATGGGGTTTCTCTCCAGTATGAGTTCGCTGATGAGCAGTGATATCACTCTTCCTGGTGAAGTCTTTCCCACATTCACTGCATACATAGGGCATCCCTGCCACAAGAGTTTCCGGATATCCCTTGAGGTATGATTTACTATGATAAGCTTTGCCACATTGCAAGCATTTACCTAGCTTTTGTCCTTCGTGAGCTTTTTGATAATGTTCATTGAATTTGAACACTTTATTGAATTTTTTACCACAATGACTGCATTCATAGGTCTCATCTAGTATATGAATAATCTGGTGCTCACAGAGCACAGACTCCTTGATTAAGGTTGTCGCACATTTATCATTGGTGTGTGGTTTCTCAATTTCATCAGATTCCTGATGGTGAATGCATTGTGACTTCATGAGCCTGGATTGTTCACACTCGGGGAATTTCATTTCAGTACAAAACTGCTCTTGTTCAACGTGGAGAAAAGTTTTTTCATCTTCATTGAGCACAACTGAGTTCTGCATTTTGTTGCTTCTGTTCTGAGTTAATTCCAGAATGACTAAATCTGAGTTTAAGATTTTTTCATGTAAGCCAAAAACCTCATAATTTTCCTTTGGAGGAAAATTATTTTTGTGCTGAGAAACAATACTTTCCAATGTATTAAATTTATAACACCGTTCCATTCTGTCCATGCATCTTTCACATTGCAATTGCTTAAGCAAATGATCATCATCTTTCTGGATTTCTATAAAAGAAAAGAACATTGACTGTTTTCAACATCTTGATTTACAACGGAACCCTTAAAATATACATTGATACAAAGTAGATCTTTAGTGACAACCCTCTTATATGAATATAAATAAAATACTATGCTTAATGTTTATTGCCCATTGAAATAAATACAATAATGAAAACAATCCAAATGGTAAAAAGTTATCGTAGAAATCAGATTGGATATGAAAGTGATGAATGAACACAGAGTTGGCATTTGCTTAAAGAGGGCCATGAAAATATACAACAAATGTAATAGAAGGAAGACACTGAGACCAATAGACCGCAGGTGTGCTAAGGCTTGCTAATTCAAGTTGGTAGAGGTCATATGCATTCATTTCATCAATCGTTACTGACAGACAACTAAGTACTAAATAAAGTTGGGAATGTGAAAAATGCAGAAAGTTCTACTTGGGAGAAAACCATTTTCACAGGTATATATGAAAGGTATTATAGTATAGAAACATATTCTTTATGTTTATGGAGCCTCTATTCTAGCTTACACCACCCCTCTTTCAGTGCTGTCTGTGGTACCGTGCAGGTTGCTGTGATGCCAGAAGCACTGCCACCCAGTGTATCAAATACATACAGGATCACCCACGGTGCACAGGTTTTAGTGGCATCTCCAGAAATAGGGACTGGGCGGAAGACCTGGTGATCTTCTGGAACATGAACCCCTTAGGTTTAATGGCAATGAAATAACACGGAAGAAGTACTAAATCCTCAAACTACAGTCAACGGTAATGATGTGGATGGAGGAGAGCTTTGGGGACCTTCAGTGGTTGACATGGCATGACTGAAAATGATAAAAAGTAGCTGCAAACATCCTCTAATAATTGGAAGATGGAATATATGAAATATTATCCAGAAAAAAATGTCAAGTTGTCAAAACAAAATGGAATATTTAAAAATTGATAGTGTATGAATTATTCAACTAAATAGACTGGTACTGGCTATTTTTAATTAGATAATCAAGTGGTTTATAAGGCTGAGATTGACAAATTAAATAAGATTGGCATCATATTCATCATCAAAAAGTACATGGCAAGCTCTTCCCTGAAGTATAATTCTGTCAGTGGAAGGTTAATATTCATATGCCTGCAAGTAAGACGAGTTACTACAAGTGTTATTTAGATTTGTGCACCAACTGTTTCAGCAAACGTAAACCGTGGGATCCGGCCCCACAGTCGAATGGGCCCTTAGGAATAGTGTGTGCAATTAAGGAAGATAAAGCAGACAGCAAAAACGGGATAGAGTGGCTTCATCTCCAATGCTGGAATAAGATAGCGAGGTCATTTAACAGTGAGTTTATATAGTAGCGAGCTGTGCAAGGCTCCAGAAGGCACAGAAAAGACAAGTGTGAATGTGGGAATATGTTGAACTCTTTTAGAACACTTCATGATAAATGTCAGGCTGTGGGAAACTGAAGACCAAGAAGAGAGTGTATGCAGACCAATTCTTTATTCTCAGAATTAAAGAAGATTGCAAGGCCAGGTATCTGGTTGGAGGGAGGCATTCACATTTGTAAGTTGGAGAAGAGTCCAGTTACATTCTCCTCATTAAAAATCATCCCCACAATATCCTCTCATTAGAGTGCTACCTTAATGATACCTCATACAAGCACATGGCTAATTACTATCTGCCAGCAGCTTTAACTACAAGAGCAGACATGTTGTTATTGTTCTCTCCAATCAGGGGCCAGTTACTCCCCTCCCCCTGCCCTCCACCTCAGCAGTGGTCTTAAGTTGCTCACCCAATTAGTTCAGGGACCTCCAGGGTAAAGACACTGCCTACCTGTGTATGTAAAGAGTGGGGGTGGGGGCTCCATGCCCTGAGACTATATAAATTGGTGAAAGAACACAAAACCTTTTTATGTCTGCCCTTCAATTACACAACTGTCCATTAGGATCTATTCAGAAGGCATCTAAGAGACAAAGGGATAGTTGATTCCTTGAGTGATAGCAAAAAGGGAACCTGATTGCTTTTAAAGCTAGGCATCTTTTTACTGAGTAGCAAGAAGCCAGGCACCTGTTGGAGCTGTATACTAGCATCTTACTGGAGGGAGGGCAGTTAAGGAGAAAACTCTATCTGGAGATGATGCATTATCAGCTCTAGCTATATCCTTGGGGCTTGTGGAGGTTTTCTTCTAACACTAGTACTGGTCTTCCAAGCCCTGTGGTCAGGAGTATAGAGATAAGGCTGCTTATGCTTTCATCCAGGTTCTGTTTTCCACAATAAAGAAATTGAGGGTTGGGGAGGGAGGGAATAGGGGGAGCTGATATCAAGGAATTTAAAAAGAAAATGTTTTGAAACTATGGTAGCAATTGTACAGTACTGCTTGATGTGATTGAACTATGGAATGTTATGATATCTGTAAGAGCTCCCAATACAATTAAAATATACATATATATATATATATATGAAAATTTTGCATAGCTTTTGCAGCCTGACATTGATCAACAATGCAATCATGTACACTGATGAATGAATGTAAAATGTGGGAACAATATAAGTAGATGGAATGCAGCCTTAACGACAGAAATGACACGCAAGTTTACCGATAAAATTTGAGACTAGGTGCAAGCAAGTGGTGTTAACAAACCCCCGGACAAGGGAACAACAAGTGAACCAAATTGGTGGTGAAGTGGGTGTGGGAAGCCTGGTAAGGCATAATCAAGGATAATGTAACAAAGAGGAACTGCTGAAACCCTGGTGGGGACTGAGCATGATAGTGGGACAAAAGGAAAGTCAAGGGAAATAGAGGAAAAAGCTGGGAGGCAAAGGGAATTTATAGAGGTGTAGATAAATACATGTACATATGCAAATATATTTAGATATGAGGATGTGGAAATAGATCTATGTGCATATATTTATAGGGTTAGTATTAAGGTAGCAGAAGGACATTGGGCCTCCATTCAAGTACTCCCTCAATGCAAGAATATTTTCTTCTATTAAATTGACATTCTATGATGCTCACCTTCCTGACACAACCGATGAAGACAAAGCGGGTGAATAAGCAAATGTGGTGAAGAAAGTTGATGGTGCCTGGCTATCAAAAGATATAGCGTCTGGGGTTTTAAAAGGCTTGAAGGTAAACGAGCGGCCATCTAGCTCAAAGCAACAAAGCCCACATGGAAGATGCACACCAGCCTGTGCGATCACAAGGTTC